CGAGTCTACGTCCGACTATAGACTCATTGTATCATATGTTGTCTGTAAGTACTTTGAGTTGTACAATGAAAATTAGAGGGGCTAAGAAGCAACCCTGTTTGAGTGAATTATTCAGAGAGTTTACCATTTACATTCAATACCACTGTCAATTAAGAGTAAATTGTCTAGACTCATTTACAATATAAAGGTTCGAAGTTCATGAGTTTGAGTGTAGTCGAGACAAAGTCCCATCCAACGTTATCGTAAGCTTTCAAGATTAAATTTTGTTTTGGGGGCCTACTTGTGTTAGCCACTAATTGCAAATATGTTAAGGGTTGATGTAGGGCGTGAATACAACACCCAGGGCACATATAAAAGGAAAAAAATGAATTGCAAATTAAGGTGCATTTTTACAATTTATATAGGATAAGTCATTCACATTTTATACTTCTCATGAGTATTGGGCCAAAGTCAGTAACATTATGCGCATGTATGAGGTCCAAATAGTGAGTGAATGAATGCACATGGCCGAAAAACGAAATAAAAAATAATGAGGCCCGTCGTGTGAGTTTGTTATCTGAGACGACAGGGATTCAGACTGGGGCGCAATGTTGAGTTTGCTTATGACCTCAATATGGTATTGTTTGTGGAGATGTGAACAAATGGCATTGAGTTCCCTCAAACGCATATATTCACAAACACGTTCAAATTCAGACGTTGAGGAAACTCAATTGGTTCGGGGGCTTCGCCCGTTAGTGCTCAAGTTTTTTTTTTTTTCCCCCCCCCCCCCCCCCCMCTTTTTAGGTTTGTATACGAGTTGCTCCAAATAAGGTGAGTGCAATGGATTAGGTAGGTATCTCCCAAAGTTGGTAAATCAGTATTACACGCCTTTGACCAAGGCAAATCCATCCTTGACAACATCGTTACTGCAATCGAAACACTCGAATGATTTGACAAGGAGAAACTCAACAAAATAGTAATGTTGTTGGATCTGGAGAAGGTCTACGACAAAGTTAACTGGACCTACGTCCTCACTACTCTGAAACTTTGTCAGTTTGTCCTAAACTTGTGTTGCTAGGTATTTGTCTTGTACGTATGTTATATCGTGTCAGTTTCAGTGAACGAACACATATCCTCGCCGTTCGCACTGACCAAATCACTAAGACAGTGGTGCCCTCTGGCCCCTACTCCTTTTCGTGATACAACTGAAAGTTTTAGTCACCAATATCATAATGCACCCGGACATCCGAGGTATGCCGATACAACATCTTGACTGTTGCGTAAAACCACTTGCAAATGATTTAATGGTGATTTATGAAAACAAAGTGGAATCACTTCAAACTGTTAAATCATGCTTAGTTGAATACGTGTTCTTGTCGAAGCAGGAGTGAATTGGTCTATGTCGATGTACTTCCTTCCGGAGGGCTATACACTAGTTGTGGAATGGGGAATGCAATGAATTGCAGGCGGTAACTCTGAAAGATACTTGGATGTGCAGGTCACCCTCGGACATTGTGCAGAAGCCCAAAATGATCTGTTCCAAAAACGAATTGTACAACGAATCAATGTTTGGGGCCCATCCCAACATCGATCTATGTTTGAGCGTGCTTTAGTAACTTACGTGGCCCTGTTTGCTCTTCTGCGGCTTGTGCGAACAGTCAGAGCACTAAGCAAACGGTTAAAAAAAGTAGTCTGGCGGGTGGGATAATTTTTTTTATGGAAGCGATTGGAAAGGAGGAATCTGGAAATGTGTCCAAAGTCGCTTGGGATCTGATATGCTATCCTAGGTCAAAAGGAGGACTAGGATTGCTAGACCCAGCAAGTCAGAATCCTTCTTTCTTGGTCAAATGGATCATTAACGCTATAACAAGTACCACAGAGGATCATGAGGTCCTTTTGGCCGACCAGATCCTAGCTTAAGATTGAAATTTACCTAGGCCAAAGGACGTTTGGACATGCATTATGATGGAATCATACCAACGCATACATACCTCTTTTCCCTTCTGGCAACTTGAAGACGTATTGAGGGCGTGAAAAAGAGTAGGTCCCCGTCAATCGACCACAGGGCCGGGAGGGCCATGTGGAAGAAAGAACGACCCTCTTGAGGGCCGCCTTATCCTTGGAGTGGAAATACTTGCTGAGTGTTGCAGGCATCCCACCTTCGGGGACGTGGTTCTTAGTACAGGTACAGGTACAAAAGCTTGAATCGGATCAAACAAAGTTCTATTGGAAGCTGATCTCAATCAATGTCGATGGCTCTAGATCCTTTCAACGGTGGACCAAACTTCCTTCCTCACACAAGCTCATATGCGTTACAGAGGAAGTGAAGGCTGCTCCCAGCAGACCACTGGGGAACCAATCACAGATCAGAGTGAAGGAACTTTGCAACAACGAAGGAGAATGGTTATGCTCAATCCGGGCTGAAGGCACACCAATCAGGAATCTAAGACCGGACCCCAAATTGTGGTTTTGGAGAGGCTCCAAGAAATTACCGCACGAAGCATGGCTCTCAGACTACTCATCAGTGGGTGGTTATGAGCTACAGCTTCCAAAAAGATCACCAATCATGGTGGCAACCGGCAGATGGAGACAAGTCAACACTACAGAAGACGAAAACATCAATCGGGATATCACACGGTGTTGGGCGCAATTGCAAAACCTACCACTACCGAGAGCAGCAATGATTCTTTGGCTACTCAATCTTGGCTACAGCCTCGACAGTTTTGGCTTGTCGAAAGGAGAATGAATATACCGTTACAATGCAAGAGGTGCCGCTAGCCGTTTGAATCAACGGTGCACCTGTGGCTATCTTGCCTTCTTTCCCGAAGGATTTGGACTTAGTGGCTAGAACACTGGTCCCGCATCAGGGGGCCAGTGTTCCCCTGGGACGACCGCTGGATTCTGTTCCGTGGCATCCCACGAGGTTTTGCTCTAGACAATGGCTGGGGCTATGTAGCTCAGGCCATCAAAGCCTGCCTCTGTCTAGTCATCTGGGAGGTAAGAAACAAAAGAGTATAATTCCAAGGGAGGTTTCTGTCTGATCAAGCACTCAAAGCGGCGGTGAAGCTCCACATCAGTAGAACTATCATCACTAGAACTATCAAGAGTGGCTGGAGACGCAAGGTAGCCATCATGCAGAGAAAAGCTGCAGGCGTTACTTGGTCCGCAGAGACCTGGACGATCCTGGGAAAGTTGGCAAGAATCCAAGATGGCAAGCTGGTCGTGGATGAGTGGGTGTTAATCACGGACTACCTACCTGGGTGCTCGGTAGACCTCACAGTAGGAGTCTACGGTAGGAGGGCAGTAGATGGTGGTAAGTGGGGATAGGAGGGAGTGCCACGGTTCCTGAAGGGGCTAATGCTCCACTGCCCAGGGTAAGGGGCAGCTCAGTTCAATCTGGGCCGAGGAGGTCCACTAGCAAAAAGGATAGGATCGAGCTCGTGAATCTGGATGTGTTTTACAAAGAGATGCAGAAAAGCAGTTCAATCTCGATTTCCTGCACCTGTGTACAAACACGTCCAGATTCAGGCATTCGATCCGATCCTCTTTGCTAGTGGGACCACGCCCCTGGTCTATGATTGGTTTTCGCAGTATGTATTTCCAGGGGGTTGGTCCCCTCGGGCCCAGGTCCCACCCCATCAGCGAAACTGGGTAATGCTCCCAGCCTGGCCAAGTCCCACTAGCAGCGTTGAGCTACCTCAACGCCTGAATGTGGACGCTTTTGCGGTGATGTGCAGAAATGGTGTTGAGTTTCCTGAACTGCACGTCTCCACAAACACGTCCAGATTTAGGCGTTGAGGTATCTCAACGCTGCTAGTGGGACTTGGCCCCCGGGTAGACTGTGAGGACCCCGGCCGCAAACTGTTTGATGATAATATAAGCCGTGGTACCATTAGCAAGAGAGCATCGGATTGAATGCCTGAATCTGGACGTGTTTGAGGGCAGGAGCAGGAAATCGAGATCGAACTGCTTTTCTGTATCTCTGCATAGAACATAGCCAGATTCCGGATCTCAATCCAATCCCTGTTGCTAGTGGGACCATGCTCCGTGTGTTTTAAAAAAAAAAGAAAAAAAGAGAAAAAAAAAGAAAGGGAAAAAAAAGAAAAAAAAGTGGTGAGTGGTCGACCGGGGGCACGTATGCCTATCCCGCAAGGCGGCGCAGAAGGATGATGCAGAATGCAGACTAGATGCTTCCCGCCTTCTGATGTCACACAGTGGTAGGAAATCTATACTACGCGGTGCATGCGGTGCAGTTGCACTGAGATTTCTCTCCCCCCCCCCCCCCTCTCTCTCTCTCTCTCTTTCTGTCCCTTTGTTTGACTCCCTCTCTCTTTCTCTCTCGTCTTCTTCTCCCGCTCTTTGTTTGTCTTCTTCTCCATTCTCCTCGGGTCCTATGGCACTTTGTCTCTTTCTGGTGTTGTCTCTAAGTGGTTTTACGGGGACAAACGGCGACAAACGGCGATCGCTCGAATCCGTGATATCCAGGCCGGGGTGTCGCTGGCCGACACAGTGACTTTTGTTTTGTTTGTTTGCCCTTGGGCTTTACGCCAACGAATACGGACTCTCGATTGGCAAACACGTTTCGTCTTCATCCTCCCCGCTGTTTGGATTTCAAATCTGCTCGGCAGTCGTTTTGCTGCTCGAGTGCCCATCTTCCAACTAGGCCCTTACACTCTCTCTCTTCTCTCTCTCGGACTTATCTTTCCAGCCGTTTGTCATCTCGCACCTCCTCGACGGGGTATCGCTTTCTCCCCCCCCCGCCCGTCCCTCTCTCTCTCTCTCTCTCTCTCTCTCGTCTTCTTGTTTATATTCTTCTTCGTTCTCCGGTCCTATGGTACTTGGTCTCTTTCTGGTGTTGTCTCTAAGTGGTTTGACGGGGGGACAAACAGCGACAAACGGCGATCGCTTGAATTCGTGATAGTAGCCAGCCCGCGGTGTCACTAGCCGACAGAGTGACTTTTTTGTTTGGTTGCCTTTGGGCTTTACGGTAGCGTCAACATACTCTCGATTGGGGAACACGATTCGTCGTCCTCATCTTCACCGCTGTTTGGGATTGCAAACCTGTCCAGCGGCTTTTGCTGATCGAGCGGCCATCTTCCAATTTTTTTTTTAACAGTCTCTCGTCGATCTCTTATCTTTCCGACCGTCTGTCCACTCTCACCTCCTCGACCAGATCCATCTATCGAGTCCTCTGCACCTGGTGGTGGAATGCGACCGGATCCATCTATCGACTCCGCACCTGGTGTTGGAATGCGACGTGGAAGCTCGGAGGCTATGGCGGCCGATCAGCACTGTGGCAGTTTTCATGGTCGTCAACAACAACAACAACAACAGCAGCAGCAGCCGCAGTCGCAGCTGAGAGATGAAGAGGATGAACCCCATCATCAGCTGGAGATCGCGTTTTACGATATGCAATCGACGGTTCCTTCGAAGAAGGGAGATGAATCAGAGCCGTTGGAATTTAGCTCGATCATCCTGGCCGCCCATGGCCTGTTCGAAACCGACTCCTTCTCCTCCCTCCTTCGCCCCTCCAGTGTTTCCCTCATCACGACGGTCAGTGTTGCTAGCAATGGCATTACGAGGGATGCGGTTCGGGATGCTCCCTCCTTTGATGAGGTCGCCGACACCATTTTTAACGTGCTGCATGGTAGGTGGTGCTTATGATGGCAGCTTATCACTTTTCTCGTTCTGGCTTCTCTGGGGTCTTGTCTGGTGGTGTGGTATGCATTGGTCTGCTTCAGTCATTGGACTTCCCCGCCGATCCCGTCATCTACGTTCTCTCCTTCTCTAGCCTTTATTCTATTCTCCTTGTGTATATGCTCTTCTTCTTCTTCTTCTTATGCCTACGTTTATGCTCTTTTCTTTTTCTTCTTCTTCTTCTTCTTCTTCTTCTTCTTCTTCTTCTTCATTCTCTTCTTCCTCTTCTTCCTCTCCATTTTGTTGTTGTTGTTGTTGTTGTTGTTCTTCTTCTTCTTCTTGTACTCATGCTTCTCTTTCTCCGGCGCGATCTTCTCTTTCTCCGGCTATGTGTTTCCCTTCTGGGGGTCTTCTTCCTTGTCGACGTCCTCTTTATGCTTTCCATGGTCATCTCCATCTTCTTCTCATATGTGGCGCTTCTGTTCCTACCCTTCGTTTTGCTCTCCAAGTTGTTATTCCTCCTCCTTCAGTAAAGTTTTCGTCTATCTCGCATTCTTCTCTTCCAGCACTTCCTTCCGTTATCGATCTGCGCATTTCTTTTCTTCGTCTTTGTTCCTTCTTCTTCTTCAGTTTTCGTCTATCTCGCATTCTTCTCCTCTTCCAGCTCTTCCTTCCTTCATCGATCTGCGCAATTTTCTTCTTCTTCTTCTTCTTCTTCTTCTTCTTCTTCTTCTTCTTCTTCTTCTTCTTGTTGCTGGATGAACATCCACTCTCAACTTTGCCTCGCGCGCTTACTGACCTGTTTTCTTCTTCCAACACATGATCATCATTGTGCATGCCGAACACATTTTCGCTCGCGTTTCGTCCTTGTCACATACTCGCTTTTTTTGTTATCTTGCTTTTCTTCATGTCCTCCCTTGTCAGGTAAAGCAGTGGCTTCTTCGATTGCCATTTCGATTGTTGTGAGCCCTTTATCTGTGTCCTCCTGCACGCCTCTCTTTGCCTTTCTCTTTATCTGTCGTTCTTACGCACCGCGCTTTGTATTGTTATCTCTTAAACTTGCCCTTTTGTGCCTCATGTCCAGCTTTGGATTCTCGTGCTCTTTGTGCTCTTGCAGATCTGTCCCTTTCACTGATATCTTACACGCCTCGCTGTCTTTTGTATGTGCTCTTCTTATGACCCTCTGCATATTAGCCGATCTTTGTCATCCCCTTGTATCTTTTCTCATGCTATGTATGCCAATTTTTTGCCACTGTTATGTCTTCATGGAAATTAAATCCTTTCCTCCTAATCTACACCCCCTTCCGTCACTTATCCCCTTTTTTTTTTTTTTTTTTTAGCAGCCCTCCAATCTCTATCCACCGCCAGAGGTTGGGCCTATTTTCTAAACCCTGTCATCCTCTCAGACTTTATGCCGCGACAGCTGCTTGATTGATCACGTCGCGATCCTGGTCACAGGTTTCCCCTATCCTGTCATCCTCGCAGATCCTGTGCCTGGCTGGGTGTTGTTTCTGAAGTCGCTTGTGTGTGTATGTGTGTGTGTGTGTGTGTGTGTGTGTGTGTGAGAGAGAGAGAGAGAGAGAGAGAGAGAGAGAGAGAGAGAGAGAGAGAGAGAG